AAAAAAAAAAAAAAAAAAAAAAAAAAATTAAAACCTGTGAATTAGTCTCAAGCAGCCTAATTTTATTTTTTCTAACCACCAATGCCAGCAGCAATAAATACTTATGACTGATATCTCTGACTGTGATACTTATAATAGGGCACAGGAAAAGCCCAGTTAATTTCCACTTCTGGTCTTGTATTGATTTTTTTCTAACGTGTAAAATTTCAAACAGAGCTCTTGCTTCATTTCATGTTGCTTTCCTTCTTTATTTAGTTAAAGAGGATGTGTGGGAAGGAGCCTGAGGGAGGCATAGGGATAGCTGGGTGGGTTCAATCTCCTTTTCCATCACCCCCCTTTATGTCAAAAAAAAAATGCTGAAAAAATTAGTCTCTACCCTTGCTGGCTCAACTTCATCACCTCCCATTCACTTCTCCGCCCACTGCCATCTGGCCTCCATCCCAAAACTCCATTCAGATTGTTCTTATTAAGATCACCAATGCTTTCCTCTTTGCCAGATCCAATGACCTATTTTTAGGTCTCCTCCTGGTTGACCTTCTGTGGCATTGCGCACACAGTACAGACTTGAGGCTCCAAACTCACATGCCCACAGGCTGGCTGCAGTCTCTGCGGGTGAAGCTGGGTTTGGTATAGCTGCACGTGCAGACATAGGGTGAGTCACAGGAAGCCTGTCAAACGGTGGCATGTGTCCCTTCTAAGGCAGCACCTGCTGTTGTCTCTGGTTGATTTTGGCCATGGAGGAATGTGAACACTGCACTGATAAATCTTTTGACTTTTTTTTTTTTTTTTAAAGAAAAGCTTGGTTTTTATGAGAAAGTTTCTGATTTCTTTTTCTTTCTTTCTTTTTTTTTTTGAGACCGAGTTTCACACTGTCGCCCACGCTGGAGTGTGCGGTGGTGCGATTTCAGCTCACTGAAACCTCCACCTCCTGGGTTCAAGTGATTCCCCTGCCTCAGACTCCTGAATAGCTGGGATTACAGGCACCTGCCACCATGCTCGGCTAATTTTTGTATTTTTAGTAGAGACAGGTTTTCACCAGGTTGGCCAGGCTGGTCTCAAACTCCTGACCTCAGGCTATCCACCCACCTTAGCCTCCCAAAGTGCTGGGATTACAGGTGTGACTCACCATGCTCAGCCTCTAATTTCTAACTATTGGCTCATTTTTTAAATTTTTTTTAATGCTTGCAGGGAAAGTGGACATCATCATAGATCTCTGAGAAGAAGCCTGTATTGTATTTGAGTCTGTGATTCTCTTGGCCTCTGGGCCTGGTTCTTTATAGGTTCTGCCTATTTGTTTCTACTCATTTTTCTGCTGTTCTCCTGGCCCCCACACCTACCTCAATCATATTGAGGATCCCTGTGTTCCTTCTTAGCCCCCTTCTATTTTCTCCTCCTCGTGGGAAATGTTGTAGACCCAAGGCTAGCTTCCTGGGCTTGCAGTCAGTGCGGTTGCCCTGAGCCCCACATTCGGAAAGGCCCCATGCTCGTGGGTTAGCGCTCTGCAGCTGCTGTCTTGACATTCTTACAACATTCTCTCTGAATTTGTGTTTTGTGAGTGAAGTACGATGGGATAATGAGCATGTGCCAGGGACTTAGCATTTCGGCTCAAGTGCTGTCCTGCTTTTCAACCTGGGAAGAATTCTTGGCCATGTGTTCCTTCACCTTTCCGCACCCCAGGTCCTGCTGCCTTCCTCCTCTAACCCTTCCCCCAAAGACTGCTGCCACCCTCCACCTGGCAGAGAGCTGAGTGCAGGTACGAGAAGGGCTGGGGTCCTTGCACCAGCATATCTGGTCGAGGCCTGGTAACAGCAGCTGTCCTCAGCCTAGCCTGGCAGCTCCACAGCTCAAGAGTGAGGGTATGAGGCTGGGCATGGTGGCTCATGCCGATAATCCCAGCACTTTGGGAGGCCAAGGTAGCTGGATCACCTGAGGTCAGGAGCTCGAGACTAGCCTGGCCAATATGGCAAAACTCTGTCTCCACTAAAAATACAAATATTAGCTGGGCATGGTGGCATATGCCTGTAGTCCCAGCTACTCGGGAGACTGAGGCAGCAGAATTGCTTGAACCTTGGAGCTGGAGGTTGCAGTGAGCTGAGATTGTGCCACTGCACTCCAGCCTGGGCAACAGAGTGAGACGTCATCTCAAAAAGAAAAAATAAATAAATAAAAGTACATGATTTAGCAGAGGCCAGCCTCCTACCACCTCTGATCCAGGTCCCTAGCACATCTTGAGGCAGAGGTTGCAATGTCTTTGGGGTTGCCCATCTGCCATGGGTTGGGACAACTGACTCATGGAAAGTGGAGACGCCTGACTTGACTTCCCAGCCTCTCACTGAGGTTTGGTGCATGGGGTCTGGTGAGAGGGGGAACATGGCATCTGTCAGGCTCAAGTGCATATGGACCTTCCAAGTCCCGTGGGAGGACCCAGAGCATCCAGGAGAGTCTGAACTTACCCTAAGTGTATTTTTGGATCCTTTGGGTCAGTCTGTGCCTGGGAGAACCCCTTCTTTCTCCTTTTAGCTTCTCCGAGTATGCCTTGTGTTCCTTTCCTCTGACCAGCTTGAGGTACCATCCGGGGTCAAGCCATAATGAATGGTGTGATTTCGGTGATTCTGCACAGGAGCTAAATGTTCTGATATTTACATCTAGAACTGGCATTGCACAATATAAAGATGAACAGTAAAATTCATGTCAGTAATTTTAAATCTTTATTGAGAGCAACATTAAATAGCAAATTAAAAAACCACCATGACATGTTGAGAGAGAGAGACCTTGGAAGAAAGGGAATACTTTATATTTTAGGACCTTAGTAACTTTAGTCATTTTAATGATACTTTTTTCTGCTCTTTGAACAAGGGCCCCCATATTCTTACTTTTTACTATGCCCCACAAATTGTATACCTGGTTGTGCCCAGGCCTGCTTTTGCTGATGGTTCCCTACTACATCTTCAGTCTGGACACTGCACCTCCTCTCCAGACCGGCTCTCACCCGACATCATCCCTCAAGTGTGCTTCTCCCTTTACATTTCCTTGTTTTCTTTTTTCTTTCTTTTTTTTTGAGCAGGGTCTCACTCTGTCACCCACACTAGAGTGCAGTGGTACGATCATGGCTCACTGCAGCCTCCAACTACCAGTGCAGGTGATCCTTCACCTCTGCCTACTGGGTAGCTGGTACTATAGGCATACACCACTACACCTGGCTCGCTCCTTCCCTCCTTCCTTTTCCTCCCTCCCTCCTTTCTTCCTTTCTTTCATTTGTGTGTGTGTGTGTGTGTGTGTGTGTGTGTGTGTGTAGAGATGGGGTTTCACCATGTTGCCCGGGCTGGTCTTGAACTCCTAAGCTCAAACAATTTGCCTGCCTCAGCCTCCCAAAATGCTGGGATTACAGGCATAAGCCACTGTGCCTGGCCTATTTCCATGTTTTCTTAATGAAATATAATCTAGACACTTTTTTGTAACAGAGTAGTTGCTAAATTGTTGAAGGAATGAATGAAATCATAGAAACATTTTTATTTTTTCTCTGTTCTTTCCATTTCCCATTTGCAACTGGTCACCAAGTTCACTCAGGTCTACCAAACACTTCCTGCTCTTTCATATTTCCATGCCCAAAATGAACCTCTAGTCATCCAGATAAAGAGCCTCCCTTTGACCTATTCATGATCTATTCAGGGAGACAGACATATCAATGAGTAATTTACAAGGAAGCATAATAAGTATTGTATTCACAGGCTGTAGGGTCATAGAAAAAAAAAAGGACTAAGTCTTCCTGGGCAATTAGGAAAAGGCTCTTGGAGGAAGTAATATATGATCTGGGGTTTTAAGAATGAACAGGTATTTCAGACAGCATGCATGATACGTTTCTAGGGATATCTAGGAGACTAGAGGCTATTTCTGAGCAGATTTGTCATGGAGAAGAAAAGGGGAAGAAGAAGAAGCAGGAAGAAAAATTCTTCCACTGCCAGAAATATAAAACATAATGGAAATTAATGAGTTGCAAAATAATTCCTGTATTAAACATTTTTTTGGAAAGTGTTCACATGACACTTTTTAAAGCTCCATGCTTATATGGTTAATATCAATGCCATATTCAAGGAAGTCCATGTCTTCCCAAACTTTCCAGTCATGTAGTACATTTGGTTAAGACTCTTCTATATTCACATAATGCTTTTCCCAGTGTCTTACAGATAACCCATCCTTCATCTAGGTATCAGAGTTTGGGATTCAACATCTCAAATAGTCAAAGAAGAGATGGTGCTGCA